TCTGCCCAGTCGCCCAGCTCCACTTTGGCCATCAGAGCATTGCCTGATCACTGTGGATGGAGAAGGACAACCGTCCAATTGAACAAAACACCGCGATGATGATGGACAGAGAGACCCAAGTATGGTACTTAACCACTTCCTTACACGTCCTCTCAAACGAAAGCCGACTCATGGGCTAGAAGTTTGCACAGGCCCGCCATACCATGTGCTTGAAGACAATGGTTAATATTGGAGGTCGTGAGGACTTGAACACGTGATCTCAAAGACAAACCAGACTCCAATACCATGTCATCAACCAACTAGTCCCAATAACTAGTGGCGGATCCAGGGGGTTTAGATCCGGAGTTAGTATAGCCCTTCTAAGTTTATCGATTTTAGTCATTCGGCCCAGTGTTATTTTATAATAAGTTTGTGTGTAATTAGGAAAATGGGTAAGATGAACATATTCTAATTACAATTCTAAATTTAGCCTGAAAATTCTAGCTCCAATGATTCTATCTAAAGAAAAACAAACAATGAAACCTAAAATTCTAAAACGTAAAAAGACTAAAAGAAATATGAGGTTTATTGCCTTAAGAAATTACTATAGCAGCCAGTGAAAAAAGGAATTGAGAAAATAATATTGATTAGTCGATTGATTTGTTTAGTGCTGACATTGCTCGTTTCAACAACTACTATGGAGAGAACCTTTACAACAATGAAATAGGTGAAAAATTATTTGCGCAACAAAATGAGCGATGAATTTCTCGCCAATTGGTTAACTATTTTATCTTAAAGAGAGTATGCTATTGGTATGGATGTAAACTCCATTATTGATGAATTAACTATATTAAAATTTAAAAGATCGACGTGTACAATTGAATTGTGGCCCAGTGCTCTATTGTATCCTGGATCCGCCGCTGCCAATAACTCGAATTGTTGGGAGAGGTTCATGTATAGTACTTTTTTTTTTTGACAAAAGATAATCATATATTGATTCCAAAAAAGATAATTACATCCTGGAATTTAGCCAGGCCTGATAGTTAAAGACACGACTCATGATCGCCCGCGCCACCGGGCAGTAAAGAAACAGGTGTTCCATCGTTTTCGGACTTTCCCAGCAAACCGGACATCGAGGGAGAACGGGCACTCGTTTGCTAATAAGAGCCTCAGTAGTTGGTAAGATCCGATTGAGAATCTGCCAGAAAAAAACTTTTAGCTTAGGAGGGATATTCGCTTCCCACAAACGGATCCAACTAGCCTTATCCATCCAGCTGACCGTGGCCTTCCAACACCCACTCCGCTTATCCAAAGCAACTGCCAAGTGGTATGCACATTTGACAGAGAACAACCCATCAGCCGTATCATGCCAAATTAATCTGTCCTCCACATTCTGACGAGGAAGAGGAATCGCTTTGATGGCCTGACAAGTTGAAGGGTCAAACCACTGGCTCAGTTTTTGGTCATCCCAACGCCCTTCCCCTTGGCAAATGACCTCGGCCACAGGGGGATCCCCACCCACCGGAACGATCATAGGATTATAACTCGGGGGATCGAGCTGGAACTTCGGGATCCAGTTGGAATGCAACAAAGAAGCAGATTGCCCATTACCAATTTGCCATTTTAATCCCTTCTCTAATAGCTGACGACCAAACAGAATACTCTGCCAACCCCACGAAGGGCGAGAGCGGGCCGTAGCTTTCAAAAACGTCCCATTAGGGAAATATTTGCCTTTATAGACCTGGGCGAGCAGGGAGTGCGGTTCAGTAAGGATGCGCCAGCCAATTTTGGTTCATATATAATACTTAACCACTTCGTTAGAGAAAAAATCAATTTAGTTTTGAACCCGTGATCCGAAGTATCCTCGCAGAAAATAATATTATTGTACTGCAAAAAATTAACTAAAAAAATCCATCCTCCGTACAACCCTTATAAATGGCGGAGTAGTACACTTGAATCTCAGTGCATTCATTGAATTATAGGCGTAGCTGGTCACTATTAGGTGAAAAGATCACCAGAACCCGGGCCCCGGCTCTTCAAAGCATCCAACTCCCAAGCTAGCTTACTTATTTACATACACTACTCATCTACTCCCTATCGGAGCATTATTAGTGGACCCTCCACCACTACCACACATATAGCTAGGGATGGCAATTTCGACCTGGCCCGTTTTACCCGACCTGTTTGACCTGTTTTGGGGCGGGTCCGACCCGCCCCGTAGGCGGGGCGGGGCGGGCATGGGTAGTCTTATCGACCCGACCTGCCCTGACCCGCCCCATTCTTGACCCGTTCGTATCTAAATTACATGAAATCTTAGTCAAATTACTTTGAATTTTCCTTTTATTGCATCATATTTTAGCTATAATAAAGTTGTAAATTAGTGAAAACCTCAATTTCTCCAATAATTTAACTACAATTGTCATAATATTGTTTGTTTTCTTAGTTTTATAACAAAAATAACGAATATTTCTAATGTTTTTCATATAAATTGCATACCCATTGGGTCGACCTGCCCCGACCCGTGACCCGTGATCAATTACCCGACCTGGACCCGCCCTGTCATGGGGCGGGTCTGGGTACCAAGAAACCCGCCCCGGACCTGCCCCATTGCCATTCCTACATATAGCCTAGATGTATATTTAGCATACCGTATTCATCAGATGCCTTTCCACAGTGATGTTGATACTTGATCGTTTAATTCACTTTTATTTTGGTAAAAATTATTCTGATAAAGGATCAACTAGATATGAATTGGTAGGTTTTTCAGGTAATTGTAATAATGCATAAAAGATAAATGGACAACGATCGACAATTAGTCGAATCATAAATAAGAGAGTTTTTATCGCTACACAACATACATCTCTTTAATACCAATACGAAATGGAAAATATCCGTGATTCTGAGTTTCTTACCCTATAAAAGTGAAAATCATTGTTTAATTCACATGGTTTGCTAAGAGAAAATGTAATAAAAAATTTCCTTTCTCCCCAAAATTATGAATGTAATGTCTTTAAATTTTATTTGTTATTCATCCTCCAAACTTTGAAAAAAATCTCAAAATACACATGTTTTTAATTTTTTTTTTTTATGAATATGTTCTTAAAAAAATTCCCAAAATACACACGTTATGAAAAAATTCTCAAAATACATATGTTTGCCCATCACTGCGGTTGTCAACGGCAGTGAATTCATTCACCGCGGTCGACGAAAGCAGTAAATGCATCCCCGCGGTTGACGGCCGCGGTGAATGCCTAACTTAACACTGAAACTTCAAACAAAGGTAACTTTGCGCTCGGTTATCTGATTGTAGCAAAAAAAATTTTATTCCGCATAACTATTCAAGATCTTTCAATCTTCAACAAGCCTTCATCCCTAAAAAATGTCGTTTGCTACCCCGAACGAACAGTTTTTCGATTTTGACAAACTTTGAAAGACCATAACTTTGTGATCGGCAATCCGAATGTCATGAAACTTTTTTTTTTATTTCGCATAACTCTTGAAGAACTACAAATTTGATTATAACCATAGTTTTGGAATGTATGCAGCATGTAAAAAGTAAAGGCAAAGTTATTACTAAAATCCCGTATACCCAAAAATATTTCTTTTAATTTTTTTTTATTTCCTAGTAAAATTTTTAGTTCTTAAAAAGCTATGCACAATTAAAAAAAACTTTATAACGTTCTGATTGAGGAGCTAAAAGTTACGGTCTTCCCAAGTTTGGAAAAATCGAAAAATTGCTCGTTCGGGGTAACAAACGACATTTTTATGGGATCAACTTTTGTTGCAGATTGAAAGATCTTGAAAAGTTACGCGGAATAAAAAAAACATTTTGCTACAATCGGACAACCGAGCGCGAAATTACGTTCGTTTGAAGTTTCAGTGTTAGGTCTGGCATTCACCGCGGCCGTAAACCGCGGTGATGCATTCACCGCTTTCGTCGACTGCGGTGAATGCAATCACTGCGATTGACAACCGCAGTGATGGCCAAACATGTATATTTTGAGAATTTTTTTCATAACATATGTATTTTAAATTTTTTTTTTTTTTACAAACATGTGTATTTTGAGATTTACATCCTCAAACTTTTATATCCTCTAAAGTCAGATGGATCACTTCTGGGAGGTTCCTATACGAGCAGTAGGCATGCTCGTATAGTGATTTATCATCAGGATTCAGGACAGTACAAGACCCCATTCACGTAAATGCACTTCCTCCACTGCATGCCCATATGCATGCCATGTGGCAAAATACTGCCGCACCAGTAGATTTAACTTTTTAAGGCAAAAAATGAATTCATGGGGAAAAAAGCAGAAAAGAAAGAAATTATTATTTTTTTGTTACAGGAGAAAGAAAGAATTAATTGGGGGCGATTCAACCAAAAAGAAAATTAAATGTGGGGCGGGACGTTTATGATATTGCTTTCAATATCTCCAATAGAGCAGCAGCCCAGAAAAGGAGAAAAAAAAAAAGAAAACAGCTAGGGATGACAATTTCACTTGATCTGTTTTACTTGTTTTTAGGTAGGATGGACATGAGTACCTCTCATCGATCTGACTTATCCAGATCTGTTCCATTCTTGACCTTTTTTTACTTATTTACATATAATTTTGGTCAAATTATTTTGAATTTTCCTTTTATTACCTTATATTTTAGTTATAATAAACTTATAAATAAGTGAAGACTTTTATTCTCCAATAATTTAACTACATTTCATCATATTATTATGGTTTTTTACTTGGTTTTACGAATATTTCTAATATTTTTTCCACATAAATTAGATACTCATTGGGTCGACCTATTCCAACCCGAATAAATTACCCGACCTATCACGAACGGGTATGGGTATCGAGATATCCGTGCCGGACGTGCCCATTGTCATTCCTAAAAACAGTCGACAACGAACCAACTAGCCAAACCCACACCCCGGACCATATCGATCAACTCGTTGCCCCTTGACCCCTTCTGCACCTCTTCCCCTATAAAACCCCACCCAAAGCTTCACAGTTACTCACACAGCAAACCCTCCTCCTCCTTTGCATCATCATCACTTGCTTAGCTTTAAACTAACAACATTTCTTCATCCCTCGAGTGCTGTTCTTACCTTTGCTAATTAGCCATGGCCGGTGCACTGAAGCTGGTGTCGATGCTGTTGGTGTGCGCCCTGGTGGCAACCCAAATGACAGCCGACGCAGCCATAACATGCGGCCAAGTGGCGAGCAGCCTTGCCCCATGCGTCCCCTACTTGAAGAACGGCGGCCCCCTCCCTGCGCCATGCTGCAGCGGCGTGAGGACGCTCAACGGTGTCGCCAGGTCCACTCCTGACCGCCAAGCCGCTTGCCAGTGCCTGAAGACTGCCGCCGGCAGCATTTCCGGCCTCAAGCCCAACCTCGCCGCTGCCCTCCCCAGTGCCTGTGGTGTCAACATTCCATACAAGATCAGCACCAGCACCAACTGCAAATCGTAAATCTATCATTCTTCTTCTCACACATATATGTTGCTGGTTTTGGTTCCTTCCTTTGCTAATATTAATATTGTGCACCCGAGCTGTTGGATTGACATTGTTTTTCGTTCTTCTTCTTTACTGCAGCGTCAAGTGAGGCCTGATAACTACGGAAAGGACGGGAAGCGGCGGGTTGTGTTAGGATTACGGGATAAATTAAATAAAAGGAATGTGTACTAGAAATAAAAATGGTCGGATGTGGAGCTGCGGGATAGAGTTGTGACTCTTTTATCTCTTTGCATCACCATCGTGTCCTTTTGTTTAGGGTTCATCTGTATTCTGGGTTTTATGTTGTTAGTGTTTGTTTCATGGGTGCCTTTGATCCCGTTGAATGAGTATTGCTGTATTGGAATTTACTTGTGGCCGCTATTTGTATCTATGGTTCATCTTTTGTCTTCTACGTATTTTGACGTGAGTGTACTTGAAACGAAAGTGGTGAAGCAGTCTACCTAACGTACGTATGCCACTTCATCTTTCTATCAAGTATCAACATACATAGCACTAACGCCTCCCCCCGTATAACACTCTAGGAAGATCTCACATCGTCAAAAAACAAGGATAATTCATGATTCGAAAGGAACATTTAATCTTAATTGACAAAAGGCATTTTTGGCAAAATAGACAAGTTCTTGGTAAGAACTTCAAAATTCAATGTTCAGCATAGACCAGTACACATATGAGTAATCTCTTGCAAAGTCATCATGATATATCCCAAAAACTAAAATCGTCCATGTAGGGCAAAGTGAATAATATCTTCAAAAAAAGTGTTGAAATACAAGTGTGGTATTGTACAAATCGTTTATAACTGATGTATTTTGGAAAAGAAATCCACTCGGCCTTATTATCTGCCTAATGCTGGCGAGTGGCGGGTGACCCCCTGTCGCGTTTCATAAATTTGTTTGGGCTGTCCATTAGGTTTCTGCTTGTTCACTTAAGACTCACCTACGTACACTGAGGTCAGTGAGGTGTGAAATTGGTTCCAGTTAGATTACAAACCATACCTAACCGTAATGGTTAACTGAAATCAATTTAAATAAATAAGATAATTATTTTTGGTTAACTTAAGATAATTATTTTTTTTCCACCGAAACTAAGTCATTTAATGGCGGGTAGTATGATGGTGAACCTAGCTTAGATGGGGCGGCAATATCACCAGCAATTTCGCACTGCTTTATTGTTCCTCTATTCTGTGGGTTGCTCTTGTTTTCCTTTTTTGGCTTCTATTTCAGCCAGCTTTTTTCAGCAGTACCTCTATGTTTATGTCCCTTTCTTTTGACTTTTGTTTTCTTTGGCTCTTGTTTCTTAGGAACAACTTGATGGGTTGGTGTCTCTTAAGTCTTATGGCTTATTTGATTGGTTGATCATTAATTTTTTATTGCTTTATTTTCCTTCAATTCAATTGTAGAAATAATGTAACTGTAGGGTGATATGGTTAGACCAAAATCAAAAGCAAACGGTTGTAGTTTGGTTATGGTCAATCCAGCTCTTAGTTAGGTGATTGTGGGTATAGTTCCTACATTGGTTGTTTTATGGTCATGTTTAAATGAGAAATATGATTCGATTAATCATAACTTCAAGAAGTGTTGGTATAAGGTAAGACCTGAACTGATGAGTGCTTTTGCTGAGTTCTATAACAGGGTATCCTTCCTAGATGTGTGGCGCACTCATTTATTTGCCTGGTTCCCAAAAACGATGTTGTGGAAGATGTTAAATGCCTTAGACTTATTAGTCTAAAGGGTAGCTTCAACAAGCTTCTGAGTAAGGTGCTTATGAGAAGAATGAGCATGGTGTTGTCGCTCATTGTCTCCAAAAAGAGAAAACTTCTGTTCGTGGTCGCCAAATATCTAAAGTCGGACTCATCGCCAATGAGTTAATTGATAGTCGGCGCAAAAGTTGTAAGCTGAGGTTGATGTTTAAGTTGGATATGGACAAAGCCTTTGACAACGTGAATTGATAATGTCTCTTCAAGATCCTTACCAGCCTTGGTTTTTTGCCCAAGTGGAGACAATGGATTCGGGGAACCATGTGTTCTCCCTTTATTCCGATTCTTATCAATGGGGAGTCTCATGGTTTCTTTCCTTCCTCTAAGGGTCTGCGTCAAGGCGATCCTCTCTCTTCTGGTTTGTTCATGCTAGTGATGGACATTCTTTCTTATATGCTCAACCCCTTGAAGGAGGAGGGTAGAATTTCTAGTTTTCATATGGATGGGAGTCGCGCCTTGGGAGAGGTCACTCACCTGTTCTTTGCTGACGACACGCTCATATTCTGCAATGCATCTCATGACCAAGTGCTCTACTTGCTCGGTACTTTAGTCTGTTTTCAAGCGGTTACAGGGCTTAGGATCAATTTGGAGAAGTCAATCATGTACACGATTGGGGATGTCTTGGAACAGAGTTTCTTTGCTGAGATATTTGGATGTAAATGGAGTCGTGACCCGTCTAAGTACCTCGGCGTTCCTTTAGGAGCAAGGCCTAATGCGGTTTCCATATGGGACCCCATTGTCACGAAAATTCAACAACGCTTGGAAGGGTGGAAGGGAAGGTTTCTGTCTTTTGGGGGAAGGCTCGTCCTTAACAACTCTTGTCTTAACAACTAGGTGGTGTACTTCTGTTCACTCTTCGATGCCTCAAAGACGGTTGTACAGAATATCAAAAAATTCCAACGAAGATTCCTGTGGAGTGGCCCGGGGGACTAATAAAGTGCATCTAGTCAATTGGGACTTGTGCAAAGCTCCAAGGAAGAATGTTGGTATGGACATTTTAGATATTGCGTCTTTCAACAATGCCTTGTTGGGTAAATGGCACTGGAAGTTTGTTGTGGAACGGGATAGTTGATGGGGAATCTTTTGGTTATCAAATACTTGTATGAGCTCTCATCTTGGCATCTTAGTAGACAGAGGAATAGTTTCAGTAGTTCAGTATGGACTAATATTTCAAAGACTCAGCACTCTTTCTGGAAGTTAGCTTGCGTGGACCGGGGAGGGGGATTATGGAGTTTCGTTTTGGTAAGACAGTTGGATTCCTGGGATGGTTCTCGCTAATTCATTTCCTCATGTTATTGCTGCTACCTGCCGCCCTGAAGCTTGGATCTCAAACGTCTTTTCCCGGGATGGTGAGAGTTTATCTTGGAATCTTAATTTATATACTTCTTTGAGAGGAGGAACAGAGAGAAGGAGAATTTCTCTTATTACTTTACTTGATTCTGTTGCTTCGAGTTGAGTCAGTTCTTGACCTTGCAAGTTATCTTAGTTACCCAATTTGGAGTCTTCTTTCTCCGTGAAGTCTATGTACATGTGTTTGGTGACTATCATATCATCAATATATAACAATATCACAACAAGACCAGTAGAAGTGTGGCGTGTAACCATGGAAGGATCATTGAGACTCTACTGAAATCCAAGAACTAGGATAGTAGCATGAAACTTATAGGATTATGCTCTAGATTTTTATTTCAAACCATAAAGAGAACGGCGATGCAGACAGACCTAATCAGAAGTAACTCTAGTATGTCTAGGAGGACCCTCCATGTAGACAGTCTGCGTCAAATCATCATGATAAAAATGCATTCTTAACGTTAAGCTAAAAAGGGGGCCAACTATGAAAAGAAACAACCAACAAGAGAGAACGTACAATGACCATCTTCTCAATCGGGCCAAACGTCTCCTTATAGTCAACCCCATAATCCTAGGAAAAAACCATGCACAACCAGACACGCCTTATATCGATCAAGAGAGCCAACATATTTAACCTTGATAGAAAAAACGTACACATTGAGATCCAACTACTGGCACAGAAGTGGAGGACGAGAGACCAAATCTCAGGTCTCATTAGCATGAAGCGAATCAATCTCCTCTTCACCAATGTGGAGCGTGGAATGCAGCATCGAGGAGAGCAAGCATGAAACCAATGAGCGGAGATAACCTTAATGATGTGGTTTTAGTACTCACGTTCTTATATTTAGTGCACGACTATTTGCCGCCAACTATTTTTATAACTTTTAAAATTCAATAATATAATTCTACAAAATCCTACATTCACAAACATAATCTTCGGTCAGACGACAAAGTTTTGCCGCCGGCCAGTATTTTCCGGCGAAGATGGAGATTTTTCGGCAAGATTTGCGTTGGCCGAAGAATTACTTTGACCGAAACCAAGACGGGCCGTCGAAATTTTTTGGCCTGATCCTTCGGGCCGACCAGGTACTGGCCGCCGAAAAATTGATTTTGGGCTGAACGACAAGGAGCTACTTGGAAATTTCGACCCTACCAGGCTCTAGCCTCCGGAATCCATTTAGCCTGACTGGGTACGAGTTGTCAAAATTTTTTATTTTGGCCGAAACCACGACGGACCGTCGGGATTTCTCAACCAGACCAGGCTTGGACCATCAAAATTTTTGGGATGTCCAAGCTCTGGCCCCAAGAATTTTTTGGCCCGACTAAGTTCTGATGATATTAAGGTAATTTATGTTGTTATTTCGATTATAAAATATAAAATTTTAAAAATATATGTTTACGCATGATAATTATCTCATTGTGCTCATTAATTTAGAATTTAAAAGTAAATTATGTTTGAAAAAAATACTATATTTATTTAGGAAAAATTCATATTCTAGTTATAGCAACAATGGCTATAACTAGTGTGCTTATTAACTGTAAAATGCTATTTTCCCGATTTGAGGTCCCAGGTGAAGACATCATGAATAGGGATGTCAATTTGGTTTGGTTAGGTTAACCAAACCATTAAGCATGAAAAACCAAAAACCAAATTCGTAAAAACCAAAGCAAAAAAATCAACATGTACTCATACACTCATATTTATTTCCATTTCCCTCCTTTATATTGAATAAACCAACATGTAAATGATAAAATAACCATTATAAATTATTGGTTGGCATGCGTATCAAAAGAAACAAAAAAAAAATTGTTGATAAATAATTTTATTATTATTATTATTTTTACATTCTTATTGGGTTCGTTCAGATTATTAGTTTCTTATTGGTTTCTATTGGTTTTTCGGTTTTCACCGAACCAAAACAATTAAGTTGCTAATTGGTTTAAAACAGAAAAATTAAAATCATTAGCTTTCCAATTGTTTTGGTTTCGATTAAAACCGAAAAACCAAAACCAAATTGACAGCCTAATCATGAATAGTGCCAGAGCTTTGATTGAGGTTACAGGTAGCCCCAGGAGTCAAAACATCGACTTTCATGGGACTAGAATGAGTCTTTAGATTGTGTAAACGATTGTTGTTAGTGCCGGTTGGAACGATTCGGCCTACAAGATGACATTGTAGTAGGATTGGATGTTTTTAGGTAGAAGGTTGGTGGTTTGGTGGAAATAAGAGTTTAGGGTTTGGGAGAGGGTAGAAGAATTGTTTTAACAATTAAACAATAAACATAAATTATTTTTGAATTTCAATACTAATACTAATTTGTTGCAATTCAAACTCTAAGCCCTAAATTAGAGTTTCATTTGGAGTTTATGGTTTCAATTAGTGGGT